AAAAAAAAAAAAAAAAAAAAAAAGTTCCATGGTGGAAAATCAACATTCCACTTCAGTTTGAGGTCTCTCTCCTTTGTCATCCAGTACACAACCACGCTTGACTCCTATACCAGCCATCACACCCATGCTGATCCTTTATATTCCCATACTCCACCCCAGCAGAAACCCTGGCAGTTCCAAGTTTCTCTTACGCTATTTTATTCTCTGAGACTAAAGTACCAGAATTTCCATATTAATGTTCCCTGGGCAGCTTCTTCCCCATCGCACGGGTCCTCTAAGGTGGGAAGCAGACCAGGAAGAAATGAATGTGTCAGAAATGGTTCTCCAGGCCAGGCACCGTGGCTCACCCAGCACGTTGGGAAACTGCAGTGGCAGAAGGACTGCTTGAGGCCAGGAGTTAGGGACCAGATCTGGCAACATAACGAGAAAAAAAAAAACAGCTAAATGTGGTGGCACACACCTGTAGTCCCAGCTACTAGCGAGGCTGAAGCAGGAGGATCCCTTGAGCCCAGGAGGTTGAGGCTGCAGTGTGGTCACACCACTGCACTCCAGCCTGGGCAACAGAGTGAGATCCCATCTCTAAAAAAGAAAAATAGAGTGCAATATCTATATTATTTATAGTTTCCCTAAAAATTGATTATTTTAAAATTTCATCTTTTCTGCTCTGTGCTTCCACGTGGTAATCGTCTGAATCCTAGAATGTGGTTCTTTTTGCTTTGGTTTGTTTTGTTTTGTTGAGATGAAGTTTCACTCTTGTTGCCCAGGCTGGAGTGCAATGGCATGATCTCGGCTCACCGCAACCTCTGCCTCCCAGGTTCAAGCAGTTCTCCTGCCTCAGCCCCCTGAGTAACTGGGATTACAGGTATCCGTCATCACACCCAGCTAGTTTTTGTATTTTTAGTGGAGACAGGGTTTCACCATGTTGGCCAGGGCTGGTCTGGAACTCCTGACCTCAGGTGATCCAACCACCTCGGCCTCCCAAAGTGCTGGGATTACAGGCGTGAGCCACCGCGTCCAGGCTTAGAATGTGTTTTAATGTTTTATTTGTATTTGCTTGAAAACAAATACAAATAGACTACATCCAGTCTATTTGACTTTTTTTAGATTCCACATAGAAGTGGGTCAATGCAGTATTTTTGTTTTTGTGTCTGACTTAATTCACTTATCTTAAAGTCAGTAGGCAGTGATCAAGGTCTTGAAATTATTCAGCGCTTTGTCCTCATAGTCACAGGATAAACCCTACCTAATCAGAATCAATTATTTTTGTGAAATATCCTAGTGAATTCCAGAATAATATATCATGAGTTTTGTATATCTACATTTTCAAATAAGCTATCTAACTCTAGTTATTTTTCTGTTCTTGATTGCCTGATAATTCAGAGTTGCATTTAATGAAATACCAGACTGTCGCTGATTCTCTAGATGTACATGTGTTTGGAATTTGATTCAGGAAAGCTGACACAATTTGTGGGATAATAATAGCAAAAGAAACTTTTTAAGCCAGGTGTGGTGGCTCATGCCTGTAATCCCAGCACTTTGGGAGGCTGAGGCAGGTGAATCACTTGAAGTTGAGACCAACCTGACCGACATGATGAAACTCCATCTCTACTAAAAATACAAAAATTAGCTGGGCATGGTGGTGGGCACCTATAATCTCAGCTACTTGGGAGGCTGAGGCATGAGAATCACTTGAACCCGGGAGGCGAAGCTTGCGATGAGCCAAGATCTCACCACTGAACTCCACCCTGGGCGACAGAGTAAGAACCTGTCTCAAAAAGAGAAAAGAGAGAGAGAGACTTTTCAGTGTTATGAATCTAACAATACACCACCATTCTGCTTGTTGGGATTAAGAGTTAAGTCTATTTATCTCCTTGGCTGATCAAGCTTATTGAATTATTCCAAACCTCTTTATCACTATTTTATTTTGTTTGATGGATTTATCAGTTTCTGAGATTGGTATGTTAAAAATGATAGAGTGCTGGCCAGGCATGGTGGCCCCCTGTAATCCCAGCACTTTGGGAGGCTGAGGAGGGAGGATTGCTTGAGT